TCTCCAGGTGGTTCTCGATCTTCTTCCTATAGTCCGCCTTGGCCTTCTTAATGCCTTTTTTCAGGTTGGCTCTAGCCCTGATGTTGCACTGACCGGAGACATCTTTCAATTTCATTGTACTTGTGACAATGACAATAAAGAATATTCTATTCTATTCTATTCTATGGTATGACTGGCAGGCTGCTCCTGGAGCACGATCCTTAAATGTAGTCAGCAAAAAGGCTCCAGGTGGCTAACTTCATCTATTTTATGTTAGTGTGTATTTTGCCAAACCAATGGAACTCAGATTAACTGCTGTGTCACCTGTTACTGTTGTCATCAGTCAGACTGAAACAAACAATAAAAAGACAGAAAAAAAATTCTAATGTAAAAAATGTTTTTTTTAATACCTCCACTTGTTAATATTTAACTTTTCAGCATAACAGCGCTGAAGTTTCAGTTGAGACTGGATGAAGGTCTGAAGTGTCTCCTTTTATTTGTTCTCTAAATAGTGTCAGAAACGTTGATGTAGCATAAATATGGAGAGAAGGTTTGCAAATGTGTACGATATGATCCACAACCGTAAAGTAAGATTGTACACAATGATTGGTGTGTAACTTTGAGAACTCACAAATATGATTTGTTTAGTGCATGTTTTGTACAATCAGTGTACAAAACATGTACAGTGTTCCCTCATTTATTATAGATGTAAAAATTTTCTGTATAGATGTAAGGCTGTAAAACGCCTCACTACACACTTTATACACTTTTCTCAGACAGGCATGAACATTTTCACATTTTCTCTTGTTTATACACAAAGCTCAAACCTTCATAGAAAAATAAGGGGTGTGAGTGTGGGGACCGGTGATAAATGGGTCAGGAATGGAATGAAAAGGAAACCAGACAGAGGTGTTCAGTATGTAAAATAGTTTTATTACAAATAATCTTAACTTAAAGAGCCGGCAAAGCCGTTTTTTTACCAGTAATGCCAAAAAAACAAAGGAAGTAGTCGCAGCAACAAAGGAAAAAAAACTACCAAACAAATAAAGGCGACGCTTCCCGCTTCTCACACTTCTTACTTAACTCCTCGCCGCGGGGAGACACCTGTGGGGCCCACAAGCCTGTAACTGCTCACTGCATGACAAACACGCAAAGGAGCCTTTCCAACACCTAGAAGAAATTGTGTAGAGCAACAGGGGAAAAACCAATTCACACACAGGTCATCCCCAGCTTATATGACCTCAGAGGTGATTACTGACTGGGCCCAGATGGTAAACGAGGCCAGTGAACAGCAGCTGTGTCCTGGGGAGAGAGAAGGGTGAGAGAGACAGAGAGGTAGGAGTGGCAAGAGAGAAGGAGGCGGAGAGAGCAGGCAAACACCCCACCCACAGTGTAACATGTAACACCGGTGTTATACAATGAAACCAAAGGCACATTTGTTGGGGAGAAAACTTACAAACAACAGTACAGCACACAGTCACACTGATCGAAGATTTATGTAAATATGACAAGCTGAATGCATTCTGGACTGTACAGGAGACATGGCACGAGATTGATGGACAATGGCCTACAGCCAATCAGGACGCAGAACACAATGCGCTGTAAATAAAACAAAACAAAACAAAAAAGCATGCAAATTTGCACACAAAAAAGAAATCTGCGAAACAGCTAGGCCGCGAAAGGTGAACCGCGATTTAGCGAGGGACTACTGTACATGGATTCTCCTTCGGTCAAAAAGCCACAGTCTGCAAGTAGCTGAAAGAAAATGACGCTCACTTAACATTACACAGGATTATATATGGAATTGTGCTTCTAT